ACATGTTAATTCAACATAATTTTGTATTGTATCAAAATATATTGATAGAGAATCTATGAATGCAATTGAATATGATTGATTATTAGAAGCATGATAAAAGACTTTTTTTCATAAATTGTATTATGTGTTATTTCAATGTCATTTTAATTTGTTTCATTTGATATAACTATACAAAATCCTAGGAAAACAAACAAAGAACAGATTTATATTGTTTCGTATTTTCTCAAATCAATTTTCATTTACTATAAGAATCATCCTAAAAATTTAATGCTGTGGAAAAAATTCAATACGTTTTCAGAGTTCACGAGTTCAAACTTATAGAGAGTTTATCGAAATTCTCGAATGCAATTTATTTCGAAATATAATATTAGAAAGACGTCGTTTTCTTTAATTGTAATAGTACAAATAGCACGACTGAGAATTTGATCAATAAGATTCGAGAGAAATTATTCGATCATTGTACTAATGTAGTTTAAATGCTTTCCTTTACGATTTGTATTACCTGAAATTCTGCATATTTTCTATTTCAAAATATTTTTTGAAATTTTGAATTATTCAAAAGTCTCATCTATTACTAGCACATAAACAATGTCAAAGTAAAAAAAAAAACATTTCTTTTAATTGGATCAAAATTTTTATTATACATATATGTATTTATTTCGATAAATTAAACTAAAATATACCGGTAACATCATAAATGGTAATCAGTTTTTATAAGTTACATTTTTAAACATTTGTTCATAAATTTTTCTTGTTATATCCATAGGACAATTAAGATTATTAAAATCTTCTTTAATAATATCGTTTGATATTGTTATTGATAATATTTATAATATTAATGGTAAATATTTAGGTAATAGTTGTTTATATAATGGTAATGGAAGAAATTGTTCAATTAATAAAACTAATAGAAGACCACTTTCATCTAAATGTATTCCTTCACAAAAAAAATTAATGACTTGCAACTGATGTATGATGTATAAGATAAAATAAAAAATAATAATAATAATTGATAATGTGTTTTTATTGATATAAAATGTTCAACATATAATTCATGATGATATATTAAATCACAATAAGATTGTAATTGACTACTTATAGATAAATGTGTTATTAATGATGATGGTGTTAATATTGGTGACCACCATGCTTCTTGTATATAATCAAGTATATTCAGAATATGTGTCCATTGTAATAATAATGAGATATAAAATGATGATCATTATAATTTAAAACATTCATTTAAAATAGTTAAATATGAAAATGTATCAAGATGATGTAGAGTTTCATCATGAATTCATAATTGATGAAAATCATTTACAATTGTTCGAAATTGTTTAACTAAAATAAAATTATAGATCTTATATAAGCATAGGAATTTTAACGTCAAATGTTTTTCGCTAGGTCATTAGTAATTAATGAATTTCAGGAAAGTTTTATCTTCAAATTAATGGGTGATATGTACATAAAGATAATCGGATGCAAGAGAACCTAATGTCATATTGATTTGACCACATAATTGTCGAGTATTCGTTAAAATTCATAATATTATGTCATGTAAGATACGAAGAAGAGCTCTGAAAACAAAAACGAGAATAATAGTTTTTAAATTATAAATAAAATCATTTCGAATACTTACGCACTAAAAGTTTCATCTCGTGTTCCATTAACTGATAATAAAACATCATTCTATCGTGTTAATATAGCATCTTCAGTTAAATTTTGTACAAGATATCGAAGTATTATATTTATATTGACTAACTATCGATTTGTAGATTGACAATTGACATTCTAAAGAATTTTAAGCTACAGGAAGATTTTATAAATAAAAACAACGGACATATCTATTTACTAATGCTCGAAAAGCAACAACAAATGGATCAATTGATCGTAATGCAACTGATGAGACAACATCAAATAGTGTTAATTGTGTGGGATAAATATCCAAAAGTGATTGATCCTATTTGAACAAAAAAAAAGTAACGTAAAATCAGAGACTATTAAAAGAAAAATAACCTGAGATTGTAAATGAGCAAGAAGTAAATCGACAATTTGTCGTGAAAGACGTTTCCATTTATCATCTTCAATTCGAACACTATTAACAATAACTGTGAACAATCGTAAAGCCTATAACAATATAAATTCTATTATTATTTTTTCAGTACATACACATGATATGAAAAGATACTTTTATTTATAATAATTAAGATGCCTAGTTTTCCCTCAAACTCAGATACATAACAACAAGATGATTATTTTCAGATCATCGATTCGTTGAAGTGTGGGTGTGGGTTCAATCAAGGAGAAAAATTACATCTACACACCCACACTCACACCCTCTCGAGTTTCTAAGATATTGGAGACTTTATAGAAGGACACCTTTTCTTCACTCTCATTTAATAAAACTTTTTAGGAATTTTAATTATTCGCATAACTCGAACAAGAAAAAAAATCATATAAAACTGGTTCTAATGCTGCCAAAGCTAAATAAAGAATTTTAACGATAATTTCTTTTTCTCGAAAATGTTTTTTTTTGCTTCCTACTATGTGTTTCAGGTTCATGTCCACTTGCTAATAATGAATCATAATGTTTTATTAAACCTTGTATTTTAATAACTTGTTTTGAATGAAGTGTATCATGTGATAACATAACAAGAAATTCAGCA